TGAGGATTTGTTCTGAAGGAGAAGAGGAGGTGGGGTGGAAGGTTATAGGTGATGGAACTGAGACCGGGGAGGGTTTGGGTGGTTCTGAGGATGCTGGAGCGATGCTGCTAGATCGCAACCCGCGTCTATTGCTTGTCATTTTCGAGGCATGACTTTAGTACGAGTTGCAAAGTGTTCTCGTGATTTTATTTTGAGAGAGAAGTTGGTACAGTAGGTCAGCGGAGAAGCCTAATCTAATCTGTTCAGCTTGCGATTGTTGATCAGGCAACACACTTCGCGGGGACTTAGACAAGGGTCCCGGCAAGACTCACATACTGTAGGGACTCGACCGTTACATGTTCACGTACTCTGTATAGTCTCATGATCAGTTCGGCCTTTATTTCAATCGCACCGAAAGATCCATTGCATTGTATATCGCCGATAGCAACAAAACCAAAGAGGCTTCCAATCAAAGAGAACAGCGCTGTATTCAGACAAATAAAGATAATATAATCATACTTCTCAACGCGAAAAGTCGGGTCGTACAGAAGAGCTTAATGAACGGCGCTGGGCAGTGATGTATTTGCAACATCTTGCATATCGTGTCGATCAAACGAACAGAGTGATGATACAATTTTCAGATCTACCACTGGTTGCCAGTCTATTAGTGCACGACCCCGAAAGCAGTTCTTCGATTAGTCCTCTATAGCCATTGCTGTATCAAATCGACCTGCGGGTATTGAGTCGTCTCGGAATCGCATATGGTAGTAGCACAGATGATCTAGGATTTCGTCACTCTAATAGATGGTATAATATTGGGACTATATTTGCCACTAAGCATCGTGTGCTAGTCTTGGGATGGCTTCCTCCTCACTGTATTCTCGGCTTCTCATCCATTAAGGAGTTTGAGGCATTACTCGAGGAGTTTCAAATGGATACCTTAAGTGCAGGTTTGTTGATTTTCCTTTTGGTATATAATCCAACCATGACTGACTATTATAAACCGGAAGATATTTCACTTCCTGAGTATGAGCATCCTGTCAACTCTTTCAATTCTTCAGTACCTTCCTTGTGAAGCGGGAGCGGGATATTAATATATGTGCTCGAGTTTTAAATCGAATTCATATGTACTGTACCATACGCTTTCATATGACAGTGTGTGTTCGAAGTCCAAAGCGTCATCTGCCAACTTCTTCAGATTACCTTTACGTTGATATGAAAACCGCTGATTTAGAAGTCTTCTTGAATTTGGATTTCCCTTTTCCCTCAAGCTCAAGCTCAAAGATATTTGCAAGCGTTAGAGAAATAGACTTGGACAGTTTGATTCAATGGCCGAAGAAGCTTCACTTCTTTGGATGATGCTACCAAACATGATGTACGCACCTGTTGGAACTTCTCCACAACATGGATCAGCGGTGGATATACCGACCGGACTCTGCGGAGAACATCTTACACAGTATGGTATGGCACTTATTCTTCTTACTCCCGAATGTATCCATGTTCAAACAAGAGACTGAGGTGAGGGGTCATCATTATATTAAATTGCCGCTTCTTGGATTTCAGCGGGCAGATCTCCTTCCTGCGTTTCACTGGCAGAGGTCACGACGTGATCCTATTTGATGAACGCTATCAAATATTCGTGGTTCACTCATTCTGGAAAGCTCCTTCGAAGCACCCTTTTGTTCTATTGGAGAAGAGGACAAGTTGTAGTGATGGTGCTACAGGTACACTTTCTTTATCTGATTCGTATAGATTTGCATGTCCTTTCTAAAGCAGGAGAGTTGACGTTGTTGGAGCTATACTTGAGGTTGGGGCCCCAGAGTTATGGCCCTCCTGATGATTCGCCCGGGATCTGGGTACTTCTCTCAGGGGGGACTGTACGAAGTATTGTATTGACTGAATGACATAAATCACCTTGTTAACCTTCACCTTCATCTTCATGCCCTTGACATTTATCTATATGTTTTTTTTATACTGTATACATATGTCCATTATAATTATATACGAAACGAATTACAATCTCATTGACCAGCTTTCATTGCATAAAACATACTTTTAGGAATAACACTCGTAGTCGATCCTTCCTTCTTCGCTGGCTTCGCTTAGTAAACATCGCCCTCAAGCCTGCGGCGACGTTCGAAATCTTAAAGAACGCGTCACATGGGGGACATTTATATACATCTGATAAGAAGTGGGAGAACAGATAGCTTGAGCCCCTGAGACAATATATATCCATGTCGGACTTCTTCAAGGCATTTGCCAATCCCACCGCCTCTACGGACGTTGCTTTCGCAACACAGTCTCCTCCGAATCAACAACCAAAGACCATATCAACACCTACAAAGCAGCGGCGTATATCTCGGGCTTGCGACTTCTGTTCACAGAGAAGTATTCGTTGTAAGCCCAGCACTGGTAAGTTTGCTGCCTATGTCAGAAAATTATCACCCAGCCTACCTCTGGAACATTTTCATGCCATGCATGTACTCTCACCTATTGTTCTATTTTAACCTTTCACAGAAGAGCCGCAGCGATGCCAGAGTTGCTTCGACTATGGTGTTGGTTGCACCTACGTTCGTCCAACGAAGAAACGTGGCACGAAGAGAGGAAGTAAGAGAAATAACAACCAAAGCAGCACAGGATCAGGATCACGAGATGGAGAACAAGATGCAAACATTCTTCTGGCATTAGTTCACGGCTCTCCAGACCATGAGAATATTTCTACTCGGGGAATCCTTGAGAAGTGGAAGTCTATGGTGGTGGACAATGAGGCAACGATTAAGCACCTTGTACATGTGTACTTTGAAGTAGTATATCCTCTGTAAGTTATCTTTGATATGATCATTGTCCACAGACCTCCCCACTCTAACATTATCAGATTCCCACTATTTCATCGCCCAAGTATGCTTGATAGGCTCAGACAACGTGAATACCTAACTAACTACTCCTTCTTCGCCGATATCATGTCAATTTGTGCCCTTGCATCATCCCGGGCTCGAGATGGAGCTTTATTTCCTGGGCGATGGGATACTAATCGCTTCCATGAGCCTTCTTCCGAGGTATTCTTCACGGCAGCTAGAGAAGCACTCCCAAGAGACCTGAGTGCAATGAAAGGTCTCGATTGGATGCGTACTTGTGTTGTTTTAGCTCTATATGGTATTCAAGTGAGTAATATTGACATCATGCACCAATACCTAGGCATCTATCACACCCTCGTCAATATAGACAGCCTTCACGACGAGAAGAATTGGCCCAAAAATATTGGTATTGTCGAGATTGAAATGAGGAGACGTCTTGTAAGTTATCATGCTTACATTGCAAGAGACATGGCTAAGATGTTTCAGTTTTGGTCCATGTATCAATTAGAAGTCTACGCTTCCACTACTTGGAACTCCGTCATCCGATGTCGAGAAGCTCAATCCCACGTCTTGTATCCAAGTGAAATCAACGACGAATTCTTCTCGGATGCCGGCTACCAAGGATTGAACACTCCAGTGCAAGGCTACAACCTACCACGAACATTCAGCAATCCCTCATGCTGGCTCTATGGATGGAACTTTACAACCGAGCTTTACCGAGTCCTCGAGCATGCAATGGACGATCTCCATCGCCGTCGGTCAGCCCCCATCGGGTCTTTCTCCCCTATAGACCTCTTTGGTCGCGATACCACTCAACACAGCGTAGTCCTGAGCAAAGTAATGTATATGTACGATGATCTACCCCGGAAATTCAAAGAAGCCAAGCTGCCGACAAACGGAAAACCCGATAAGGACGAAATATATAGTTTCCAAGCAGCAAATATTACTGCAACATTGCAACTCGTGCGAATGATCCTGTTTACATCAGAGGATGCCACAGTGGAGCAAAAATGCAAGATTGCTCGCGACCTTCTCGACGGGTTTTCGAAGATCCCTATTGTCTTCCTTCGAGCAATATCCTCACCCCTTTTGCACCATCTGGCAGGGATAGGCTCCATCCTAGGCTCCGTGATGGAAAGCCCTCTTTCAGAGTCCTCCTATCTCGAACTTCGCCATGTCTTGTAAGTGTTACCCTCGTTGTCCCATTGTCGGTGAAGAATTCCCTTGAAGTTTCGAGCAAGATGCATCCTGCTACCGTTCTCTTTTCATCAAGTACCTACCTCTGACCAATATTAGACTTAGCATGGCCGAACTTCTCGAAAATCTCGAACAGGGAATAACTCGCAATGTTGGCGCCGCCTCCCGTCTCCGTACTCACATTACATCAATCGATAACTACATGACAATTCAACGACAAAGAGGGGCCCAGTTTAGCATCGATGGCCTATCTGCTCCCCCATCATTCCGGAATACCTGTGGCAATGACAGTACCACTCCCAAAATTGATCCAAGCTTACAAGTCGCTGCATACCAAGACTCGGCGAACCCATATACCTACCAGACAAGCAATGCAATTAACGGAGCTGTGGAAGGACCGGAGATCACTGTGGCAGGGTAATTTCAATTGCCACCGCAGTTGCTGCACGGATGGTCATGGCCTTTTGATAGTACGCAGGGCCTTGGAGGGCTTTAAGAGGAAAAGAGTGTCGGGAATATGAAATGAAGCGGTGCCGTGTTAAATAGCACAGATACTATAAAGTATTATTCTGGCGTGGTGGGACAGCATCGGCATCCAGTCAAAACGAGCAATATCCAGTAGCTTCCACGAAAAGATTCCCCTGAGAAGTTATCAAATTTTAATCACTCACTCAAAATGAGACATTATTATGAGATAGCAAAATGTGCATGTACATCGGCGATTTGACTATCAATACAGGAAGGTTAATGGCTCATACCTGAGGCAATAATCTCAGTATGAATCTCAGCATCAGGAAATGCGGTGTTCTTGGATCGAATGACATCCTAAAGGGGTATTGTTTGTAGTGAAGAAGAAATTGGGAAAGAAGACGGGACTGGATAACCTTTTTAAAGAAGTAACTTAATTATATATGTAGGGAAAGGCAGATAGATACCCTAGGTACCTATATTCTCACCTGGACTAACAACCTCAGAGTAATACTTAGCATAAGTTAGTAGGTAAGTGAATTAGTGGGTAAGTGATCAAGAATTTACCTTGACTAGATATAAACTACAATAGGTGTTTTACTGTAAATGAATGGTTGGGCCCCACAGAAAATACCATAGAAAAAGAACATGCGCTGAGTTAATGAGTGAGTAGGTGTCGTATGGTCGCAGAAGTGGGTCAACTCCCGCTGCCAGCACTAGCACTATAAAACAAACCTAACCTATGAATATGACGTTTACTTAATTATTATATTGAAAATGAATACCGTATCATCTGGACTTAGGCACTAAATAGAGAAAGCTAGCACGTTAAACAGTATTTGTATATTATAAATGACAAGGTATTAAAGGATGAGCTTGGTGAAGCTTTTCTTCTAAATGTACTCTAGGTAATCGTGATTTCATCCGGAGAACAAATAGGGGGCACAGGTAGTGGGGCTCCAGCTAAGCGAGGACGGGGAAAGTGAAGGTTATACTTAGGCACTGTAAAACACCATACACCCTAGAAGGCTTCACGTCCCGCTGCAACAGGCCTTCGAATTATATCATGCCATCATGCGAGTAAGTGCTTGCTTAGAAATCAGCGGATGCAACGGTGTCTAATGCAACCTCCGCGTCCCGAGACTCAGTAGCATATCCCGAAAACTTCGGATAACCCGAAACTTCGTCTATTCTGTTCCCTCCTATAAAAGGGGTTATCCGTAGGTAAATATGCAATCCAATCAACCCAGCTCATTCTTCTTCTTACACCCTGCTCAATCCAAGATTCATCATGTCTACCCACTCAGCAGTTGTTACCGCCTCAGTCCGCGGACCCCTTGAAGTCATTCAAGTCCCTACGATCAAACCTTCGACAGGTGAACTCCTTGTCAAGGTAGAATGGACGGCTTCTACACCCCTAGATCTCCACCAGAATGATAGCGGGCTTCTCGTGCAGCATCCACAGATACTGGGGGGCAACATCGCCGGGACAGTCGTAGAACTTGGTCCGGAGGTGAAGAATCTCAAGCTCGGAGACAAGGTGCGTTCTTTTATACTTACCACTTACTACGTGCATGTCTCTGACACATTCTCTAGGTATTCGGATTCGCATGGAGAGAGCAGAAAGAAAAAGCACACCAGGAGTTAGCTACTGTCCCAGAGTATCTCCTCGGAAAAGTAGCCCCTCCCTCGCTCCACCTTATTTTACCCTTTCCCCTCACCATCCTCGTATTAACAATAGGAAAAACTAGATCCCATCCAATGTCACCCCGCAAGCAGCAGTAACGCTCGCCGACAACTTCGTCACAGTCTTCCACGCCATCACCACCGACCTCCGCCTTCCCCTCCCCTGGCCCCGCCCCACCGCAGCACCCGAACACGCACACTCCCCCATCCTGATCTGGGGCGGTGCTTCGTCCGTCGGGCAATACGCCCTCCAGATCCTAAAGTACTACAATTACACCAACCTCCTGACCACCGCCTCCCCGCACCACCACGAGTTCCTGAAATCGCTCGGCGCGAAAGCCGTCTTCGATTACCGCCAGCCCGATGCGCCGGCCCAGATCCTCGCCACGGCCGGAGCTGGCGGTGTGCCGTTCATTCTGGACTGTATAGGATCTCAGAGCGGGAGTCTAGCGCCGCTGGCGAAGATCGCGGGTGAGGGGAGTAGAGTTGCTGTTTTACTGCCGGTTATTGTGCGCGATGCGACTGAGACCGAGGCGCCCGAGTATGCGATGGATGTTAGGGCTTCCGCGGCGTGGAAAGAGGGCGTCGATACTAGGGGTGTCAGAACGCATTTCTATCTTGAGGTGAGTCTTCTCTAGACCTAATCCATTGGAGGGGAAGTTTAGGTAGGGGCTGACGTGAAGTGAACATAGAATGAGTTTTTCAAGGAGAAGCTCCAGAGCGAGATCATGCCTACACTACTTGAGCAAGGCATCATCAAGCCGAATAAGTATCGGATTATCGAGGGTAAAACACTGGTTGAGAGGGCACAGGGTGCTATGGATGCGCTAAGGCGGAAGGAGGCGAGTGGGGAGAGGTTTGTATGGAGGATTTCTGAATAGATAGACATGCTCCGGATTTGGGCTTATGATCATTCTGGAGGGCTGAGCTATCATAGAACTATCCGTATTATAAACTAGAAATGCACCTTTTATTGCCAATGCTCGATCTATTTTCAGATGACCGTGTAATGATCTACGAATTTGCTCGTTGAAGTGAAACCCAGTTTATGTTGGATACGGGGCAAGATCGCTAAATTTTAGCGACTTGACTTCTGTAGACTTAGCGAGCTGCCCTTGTGACTTTAATGGTTCTCGAAAAGCAAGCAAGCAAGCACTTGAACCCCAGAGTTTGACCTACTTAGAACCAAGACGGCCTTTCAACTTGGATAAGTCATAGTCGCGAAAGTAGCATAGACCACAAGAGAGACGAGACGTACGTGAACTACCAAACCAAAATAGCGGTGCATGCCAGAACATTCCATGTCTGATGGGACAAATTGACAATAGGGCAGTCCTTGACTGAAGCATCATAGCCAGAGTATTACGAGTCGGAGTAGAAATCAGGTGAAGCATGAGTGATCCCGAGTTCTCAATACGAAAGATGTCCTCCGCAGCCAAAATTGATAGTATGCCGTGTTCACAAGTAGTAAAACAGACAAAATATGCGCGTTCACTGTTCTTCATACGCGTATTTCAACCTCCTCTCTCGCTTTTTGCGAGCTAAGAACTATGCACCTATCTGTTGTTGAATATCATGCAATGCCGTTGAAGGCCTCCCTCGTTTAACAAAATCCGCATTCAAAGGTGGATAAATAGCCCACCCAATAAACAAATTGCTGTTATCATGAATCGTTGAGATCCCTTTTATAAACGCCTTCCCCCCCGAAGATCGTTGAGATCTTCTCAACGCCAGAGTTGAGATCCTGGTTTTCATTGTTCAAAACCTAAACTTGTTGAAATCTGCCTTAACACCGCCGCTATGTGCAAACACTTAAATGCCGTTGTTGAACCCCTGTGATGCATCAAAATGAGCAAAAAGAAAAACCGCCTGCCATATCGTTCGCTATGACCATGCATGTTGAATCATTATATCGTTGAGAATTCGTTTCTTTGAGAAAAAGAATGTTGCTTATGCGCCGTTCATGACGGAATTATTTTCTAAAACATCGGGCTGAGAACCGTTGACGCCGTTGGTATCGATGCCGTTCTTATATTCGACTTCAAAAGGCTTATCAATGCTAGGGACTGAAAGCTCGTCGAAGAGTCGGAAGAGACCATGTGTCTGATGGAAGTCATTGTGAACTGTGTTTTGTTAGAAGCGAGTTGTAAAGCAACTTAAAAGGAACTTACCAATATTGACCAGGAACCAGTTCTCCATCATGTTCTGGATTAAGTTACGACTAGGGCTGAGATTAGAGTAACAATGCGCCCAGTCCATTCCAAGGCGGAATGCTTCATCCTTCCAAGCTAAGAAACTGATGGTCTCGACAATCGTTGGCTGCACGATTTCCTTTCCGGGAAACACACCCCAAGTCACGGCATTTGGCCCGTCACCTGGCGCATTGGTCTTGAGCTCTCCAGCTTTGTTGACGGCATAGTAGGTAAGATCAGGGTCGCGCTCGATTCTCTGAATTAGCTCATCCATCAATTGTGGAGAGACCAATAATTCCAAATAAGCTTTCTGGTAGACATAACCATTCGCTGGACCCCAGCCATAAACCGGATCGGAAGATTTCACCCCATCTACAGCTGGTTGGGAATTGACTGTTAAGAAGCCGCGCTTATTTAACCCGATGAGGTCGGCTTTGATGGAATCAGCTTCACTTGTGATGGGGGCTTCGCTCCACGGAAGACTGTCCACGCCATTTTCGAGGTATTTTACGAAAATTTCGGCAACGTCCTTGATCGAGATTGGTTCGCCCCAGCGCTTCCGGTTCTGTTCGTTGGTTCCCTTCAATCCAATACCGTACGCATCCAATTCCCCGAAAGCAGGAGATCTCGAGTCACCCCATCTGCCATTAGGAAATTCGTCCCATTCTTGGGTTCGTGCCACGTAGGACTTGTTGCGATTCTTCCAAAAGATCGGACGAACATCCTCTTCTCGGCGACCGAGCCCAAGAGATTGCCTCCATGGCAGAGCCTGTTTGAGTGGCCGTTCATCTGATGGAGTTAGTTTTAAATCCTCAAGAACCATTTTAGTGGCCTGTGCGAGGTTCATCGTATAGAAATGCAGGTGGTGGATCAGTCCTGAATCCAGAATTTTGCGGCACATTTCGGCCACCAATCCCGTCCCAATATTTCGAACCGCAGCATCGTCATTCTTGACCTTTTCCAGGGCTTCCATCCATTTGGGTGGAATTGAGCAATTCATGTGGTTACACCTCCGTAAAAAGCTAGCATACGTATTTATAGGCATGATGCCAGGAACAATGGGAATAGTAATCCCCTTTGCCCTGACCTTTCGAACCCAATCGAGGAAATTGTCCACGTCGTAGAACATCTGGGTTACGATGAATGTAGCTCCGGCATCAACCTTCTCTTTTAAGTGGTCCACCAATAGTTCCAGATCGTCCTGGTCATCACAGCCCTCTGGGTACCCAGCAACCCCTATATCGAAATGATTGCCGTACGTGTCTCGAATATGCTTGACAAGATCCTTTGCGTATTGGAATCCTCCCTCGGTAGCTTCCCATTTCTCATTCTCTCTGGGTGGATCTCCACGGAGCGCAAGAATATTCGTACAGCCAGCTTTATATGTTTCCTTCAGGGCCTCGTTGACTTTCTCCTTTCCCATATCGGTGCAAGTAAGGTGCATGCATGTCTCTAGTCCGTATTGCGATTGAGCCACGCCCACCATCTCGCACGTCAGTTGTGCCAGGCGCCCTCCAGCTCCCCATGTAATATCGATGAAGCTGGGGCCGAGTGCGTGCATGCGGTCCATACGGTCGTAGAGGTTCTGCACACCTTGTGCGGTCTTGGGAGGGAAGAATTCGAAGGAGAACTTGGGCTGCTTCGACCGTTCGGCCTCGGACAGCATTTGAGAGACGTGCATTCTGGCGGTTTAGGAGATAGATTGTTCGATATCAAAATATATACTAAGGCAGAGGCCTGTGGTTAGCAAGCTTCGAGGTCGGGGAAATGAAGGGAAAGAGGCTCTGATCGAAATCTTTACTCGAGATCATAACGCCCGGCCAAAGGTGGGCTGAACCCAGAGCTCACAGATGCTCTTACAGACAGACATATAAGACCTGCAGGGCACCCAATGCAGGGAAAGGCACTTACCACGTTCTAGGAATATCTCTAGTATCCAAGTCAGGACTCTGTGTTCTATTCTATCCGGCGGCGAAAGCTAGCCGAAATAACGTTTGCGAGCCCACCTTTCAAGCACTTCCCTCTGCATATGGTTCGCACCACGTAGGAGAGAGAGGAGAGTCTGGAGATGGAGGGATGCGAGTGTGGGGTGTGAGATGTAATAATGCGGCAACACGAAGGGTATGGGGGAGAGAGCAAATAGAAAGCGGTCAAATTTTTGCGCAGTTCGGGGATTTTTAGCGACCTTCGGAGGTTTGATACTGATCTACTAGCGGATTCACTCATCATTTACAATGCCATATGTGTTAATGAATATAAAGTATATCGTATCTAATATCTGTAAACATAAATATCACATACTAGTACTTCATCTTTATTTTCGCAGGTAATACTACCATGTCCACGAGATTCAAGTCAGGAACCCGCCACCGAGGGGCACTTCGACCCCTCCCCTCTTCGCCGTTGCACTACAGGGGTTCACTGGGCCGTGGCATGTCTTCATGTGATTGGTTCAATGCAAAACCAGGCCAGGTACCCAGGTCCAGGGAAGGAGTACGAGTACGGTATCTCAGGCCGGACTCCGTAGGGATGAATGGTGGTGTTGGTATAATCTTTGGGTTTATTTTCATACACAAAAGCCTCAAGGTTTTTCGAGCCTCTAATTGTTCGCACGCTTCGGCGACCGAGTAAACGCCCGGATTGTAGATACAACCGACCCCTGGATATCATAATTACAGCAATGCTACAGCACCGCAATTTCATTATCTCATAAACTCATGCTTGAACCGCTGCATCTCCATCAGCTTTCAGACCGCTGTACTGCGTTCCCTGATTTGCTGTGCTCAACCTTGCACACAGTCCCAATAATACCACCGTCTCAGTGGCAGCGTAGTGATTCAGCGAGTCTAGCAGGATTTGTAAGTGCCTGCTGAAATGGAACTCGCACTTCTTAACAATTTCCCACATCTTCTCCAGTCGTGCATCCTCAGTACCCGGAGGATTGGAGGTTGAATCGCCCTGCCGTTGGCTTCGATGAGTCTGATATCGTGCCCATTGTGATTGGTTCATGTGAGCTGGCTTTTCTGCACCGGCAAGGTCTGGATCTGTTCGCTCCAATTCTCGTGAGAGGTGGCCAGTGTAGGATGCAAATAGGGTGCAGGTCTGCATCAGTTTTGAATGGACCTAGATTTCATAAGTCAACAGCTACTCATCTTGAAGTCGGCCACATACCCTTAGAAGTCTACTGTTCGTAAGCATACACTCCTTCAGACATGTATCAAGAAAATCAACATGGTCTTGCATAAGCTCGTCCACAGTTCGTACTGGTGGTGGTCCACCCTTACCATCCTCTTTGGCATTGAGTCTCGCCATCAGAGCTTGCCAATTCGGCTCAATAACCTCCGCTGTGCAAAAATACAAGAGTTGTTGGACAAAAACTAACATGCGAGCTCGCAATGTAAATACTCGTCGTTTCAACAGCTCTATTTCCTTATTCGAACTTTTATGGGACCAACTGGCAGCTCGGTTGTGCGTCTGCCAGCTTGTAAGGAGCTGGTTTTCCAGGTATCGTAAGGAGAGAAGGTATCGGAACAAAGCCTGGTATCTCCAAACCGTCTTTCGGCTGATGACAAGTGACACGGGAAATGGGACGGAGTAATCCAGCTGCAGAGAGGTGAACCCTATAGCCGCCTTGTCACTCTCGTTACTTGGCTGAGCAGTAGCTGGGGTCTGAAGTGATTCGCCTTGCTCGATTCCTGAAATGTTGACCACTCTTGTCAATGAGTTTGTCAAACTGACCTCATTCATCTCAATCTTAATATCTTCCTTGAATGGATCCTGTGCTGCAACACTGCCAGGTTGCCGTAATACAATGTCCAGCAAAGATTGTAACTTGTTAGTGTTGACTTTCTTGACCGGTTTGGAAAGCTCGGAATTGCCAAGCTCCAGGAAAGAAGAGAAGAAGTCGGACCTGTCGAGGAAGAAGTAGTGCTTGAGAGATCTAAGTCGTGCAGGTAGTGCATGTGTTGTCAACAGCAGCTGCAGAAGAGATTCATTGGCATGTGCATAGGCGCTGTTGACATTGTCCAAGAAACGGTTGTCATCAAAAGATCGCGGAACATCTGTGACATCTTTGCTCACATCAACGCCGCCACATTCCCTTACTACGTTCAAATATTTGCCGGCCAGCAGAACCTTGTCTTTAACATCTTCGAGCTGTGGAGGTACATCGTTGTCTCTGATCGTGTACCGCCTTTCCCAGTATTCGTCGGTGTAATCTTCCTCTAATCGCTCCCGTCTGATACTTTTCTGCTCTCGGACCAAGAACTCTGCATGAGGATCCTTGATACTTCCATGATGAAGCCACTCATTCAGCATCATCATGTAGGGTCGACTGGCATCCCTCAAAAGAGACGTAAGAAGCGATCGAGCAGCAGGGTCTCCAGACATAGTCTCCAAACGCTTCGTGATGAGTCCCAAAACACTACCACCTTTACAAATCTTCTTCCCAGGTATGTTTCCTGGACCAAGTTCTCCTTCCTCTCTTAAAGTCTCCAAAATGTTCTCAATATCATCTAAACCATCGTCAGAATCCTCAAGGTCCTCTTCTAATAGCGAGTTTCGCTTCAATATTGCGTGGGCCAAGGAGTAGACCTGGAACATCATATGGCTCGTAGGTAGAGTATGAAGATTTAGTACGTGTAATGTGAATGAAGGATTGGTCAGAAATTGGGTCTCCAGTTGAGCAATCAAGATTAAATAATCGTGGAGAAGTTTCCGGATCGCAGCGCAAAGGGCATGATTTACAGCTCCAAACTCTTCTCGGCTTTGAACTTCCACAAATGCCTCAATGGCACCATAGTGCGTTGCCATTTTTAACATTGTCGTCGTCAGATCTTGTAGACTGGGATCTAGCCCAGGCAATATTTTATATCCGGGCCCCGCCAGACGGTCTTTCTCCACAGAAGGATTATAGTTTTTGGAGAATCTGATATATTGCCCTTCATAGCCCATAAATACCATTAGTAAATCCTCGAGGATCGCCGCCTCTTGTACCTCCAAGGATAGTTCATGTAATGGTTTAGGCTGCAGAGCTTGGGGAGCTTGAGACGCAAGTGGTGGTATAGATATTCGCGATGCCAAAGGTGCAGTTGTATGAGGAATCAGGGATACTTCCGGAAGCCATGGTACTATTCGAACAGTCAGACATTGTTTAAATCGCATTCTTGTATTTCTTTAAAATAGCGTACCTTCTGGAGCCTCCACTCTAGACTTAGGCCTGGGGTCTTCAGAGTATGTCCGACTTGGCTCGGCTGGCCTTGGCCTCTCTACAGGATGTGAAGATGGTGCAGTCCGACGGTCTGGACTTCGAGTTCTCTTGCTCAGAGTTTCTCTCGTAGTAACATGGACTCTCTCGGTCCGCCTTTCTTCTACCCCTCTATTCGTTCGCTGCGTTCCTGACGCCGCTCTTCTGTGAGTCGTTCCAGACGTAGAGGGCTGAGGCGATTGCGTCATTCTAGAATCCGATCTTTCATTTCTGCTTCTTTCTTGCGCAGATGCGCGTAGTGGTTGTCCTTGTCCACTTCCAGTATCTGCCGCTGTCTTTCGCTCAGCACGTGATGAAGCTCTGGTACTGGCCGAAGAAGACATGTCCGTCACATTTGGGCCTACTGGTAGGCTATAGACATAGAGGGTTTGCGGTGTCCCTGAAGCGTTGAGAGGATTCAGATGTGGTACGGTATATTGAAGTTGTCCGCTTGGAGACGCGACTATCGCGACTTCCCAAATAACACTAGCACTGAATTGGGCTTAGCTCTCCCGTCACCTAGATTCGTGTTTCTGGCCTGCCTGCGCTGCATCAACAACCTCAAAGCTGTTACTTTCGAGCCAAAGACCTTCGTCCTTAATCACCAAAGAACTGTGAGACTTTAGGCATCCAAGAATACTGATATCCCCCCCTCCCATCACCTCCGACCTTGACAACCTCAACACGCCAATACCTTCAAGATGTTTATTGCTCGGTCAGAATATGGTATGTAGCTGAGAGCTTCCCAAGCTATTTGTAGATTTGAAACTAACTCCCTAAACAGATCGTGGTATCAAGTATGTTTTCAAGCATCTTCTGCAGCTTCAGAAACTCCGTAGCATCAACCAAATCTGACGTCCCGTTTAGTACCTTTTCCCCAGAAGGCCGTCTCTTCCAAGTCGAATACTCTCTTGAAGCAATCAAGCTCGGCTCGACCGCAATTGGTGTAGCTACAGGTGGAGGAGTAGTACTGGGCGTCGAAAAGCGTGTCACATCCACCCTCCTCGAGACCTCATCCGTCGAAAAGATCGTCGAAATCGACCGCCACATTGGCTGTGCTATGTCCGGACTGCAAGCCGACGCCCGATCGATGGTCGAGCACGCCCGAGTAGAATCGCAAAATCACGCCTTCCATTACAACGAGCCGTTGAGGGTTGAGAGCTGTACACAGGCCATCTGCGATCTAGCGCTGAGATTCGGTGAGGGTGCTGATGGCGAGGAGAGTATTATGAGCAGACCGTTTGGTGTTGCTCTTCTGATTGCTGGGTATGACGAGGATGGACCACAACTGTACCATGCAGAGCCAAGTGGAACTTTCTACAGATATGATGCTAAGGCTATTGGCTCGGGTTCGGAGGGTGCGCAGGCAGAGCTGCAGAATGAGTTCCACAAGGTAGGTTCACTATTACTTGAAGACCGAAAAATGGCTAACACGTTTTTAGTCTTTGACTATTGAGGAAGCCGAGACGCTTGTGTTGAAGACATTGAAGCAGGTGATGGAGGAGAAGCTGGATTCGAAGAACGTCCAACTAGCAAGCGTGACCAAGGAGAAGGGTTTCAGAATCTACACCGATGCAGAGATGGCTGCCGTTGTAGAAAGATTACCAGCGAATTGAAAGGAGGGAATACCACAAATTTCTACGATAGAGCATAAAGCACATTCGGAGTTATGAGGTCAGATGAACTCAATATAACATGTACAATACCAAGTGTAATCATGACCACAAGCATTTATATTTGCTGAAACGTGGGTATGACCTTTGCGGCTCTGCCAAAGTTACCGTAGGCTTATTTCAGAAATCATCTACCCAAAGCCAACACGTTTGCTGCCTGATTTTGGATCGAGAGGTTTTGGACTCCTTTTCAATACGCATTACGCCCCTTCCCCACCCTCATTATCCAAATCCAAAGTTTCAAAATCCTCTTCTACCCCCAATATCCCCAGTGCATAGTGTACCCTATCACCTCCACTAACAATCATCCTCCTCTCATCAATAGTCTTTCCCTCAAATGCCTGATCAAGCCTCCTTGGTTTGAGCCAAATATCCGGAACGTCTCTTGGAGTCGTTATCCGAGTATACGCAGGGCCCTTACCCAGCTCGGCGGTCTTGCACCAGGACGTCTCGCAGCCTGTGGCAATCGCCAAGGATGTCTGCCAGCCGGTCAGGCGTGCTATATCGTGCAGCCGGGAGACAGTCCAGGAACGTTGGGCTGCGTTTTGATACTAGTAAAATGTCAATATCAATGGATTTAGAAAGGGAAGGGAGAGGGAGAGGGGATATTCACCTGTACACCCGAGACAAACAGACACGTGCTCGACTCTATCAACGCCGCGCCCACACTCGGATTCACCTCCTGCATCCTCTCACAATCCGGCGCAATCCCCGCCGCGATCCGGCCTATCTGATTCGCATAGTTCGCCGTCTGACGCGCCGCTATCCCAGCTGCCATCATCGCCGCGGGTGGCATGCTTGGGTGAGCGCGATGGCACACTATGAGCGCCATGTAAAAGTTCATCCATATTCCCGCAATGCCATACGTGCGATACTGCAATGCAGGACCAAAGGGCGTCTGAATCGGAGCGGAGAACTCAGGACCGAGGGCTTGGAAATCCTCGCCAAAGTGGTCTTCGAGGATGGCGAACCCGTTGCGGATGTCTTGCCATTCTTCATCTGCGTCGAGCTTCTTGGCTTCCAGGTCGAGATCTTCGGCCGACTGCGTGCTTTCCGGGGAACTGTCGCGAGCTGAGGAGAAGCCCATGGGCATTTGGGGTGGTTTGACACCGGGGACCATGCCGCTGAAGTCGGGCATTTGGGGCATTTGCGGTGGTACTTGCTGATTCGGCATCTGGGGAAATGATGGGGATTGTGTTTGGGGACCGGTCCCTGGACCAGGCCTAGGGCCGTTGTTATTGAACATGCTCTGTGGTGGGCGCCAGCCCCCATTTGCTTGTATCTGCTTGCGCTTTCTCTTTAGATCTTTGGCTGCGAAATCCGCGACCCTCCCCATGAGGAGAATTACGTGATCAAAAGTACCATAGCTGGTATGCGTTAGTTGAATTACGCGGCGAATAGGGGGGGGTCTTCTTACGTTGCATTGAGACGGCCAGGAGCCGCTCGTGGAGGACAATGGCTCCATAAGTCATATTCCATGCTATTTATTGTCAGTTTCATTTGGCAGTGAGAAGATACTACTTACAAAAGCCGACCTCCCCCAAGGATGGCTTGATAGGCGTCTTGTTTACAATACCACCAGAACAGATCGCGTTGTGTTTCATATAACTCAAGATCTCTCTCCGAATAAGTTTCCCCGCTGTCGTCCTGGAAAGTGTCGTCGACAACTTGCCCAAATTGATCATAGCTGAGCTTCTTGCCCATTAACATACTGACAATGGTCTCATCCACGTCGTCGACATACAACTGGTGCCTAAGCCTATCATCATAAAAGTTATGGCCGACTTCTTGCTGCTGGGTTTGATAATACCTCATGCGCTCTTCCCAACGCTTTTGGACTTTTTGAGATTTGATATACCTTGTCATGCCTGCGAAATCAATCTCCCTGACTAGTTGTCGTGCGCCGAGTAAATGGTTGCTCCATTTCTGATGATCTGCGGTCCAGACCTCGAAGAATGCTAGTAGCATTGCGGCAGCTAATGTTGCTGGCTCACTTCTTCGAGTAGGGCTGCCTATACATTTTGCAGTACGTCGGAGACTAATCGCATAATGCTTCAGCGCTGCCGTGATGGGTTCACCTTGGAGCTTTGCTATTTGAATACTTGCAAGTGCAAGCATCGCATGCAGCAGCGCCGGGTGTCGAAGTGCAACAGTGGAGAAGGTGTCTATTCTTTGTTAGATTCGATATTTCGCGATGTCCAGTCCACAGAAGAGAGGTATGCAGCATATCGAAAGTGCGTGCTCAAAATTTAGATACCAACTTACAAGTCCAAATATGCTGTTGAGATAGCGGTACTGGCTGCCCTTGGAATATCAACGAAGGGTTGGCGGGATGTCTCTCAAACAATGAAATGCTAGGGGCCGTAACATTAACAAAGTGACAAAATATTCGAGCTGACATGCTGTCACTCAACGGCGAAGATTGAGGAGATGGGACATAATTTGCAAGCATATCTGGCCGGTCAATAAAAGACTTGAAAGAACGAACTAGGTGACCTTGGCTCTCTTGTCTCTCTTGGACAGCTTGAGTTGCCACAACAATGCCCAGGTCGTTGCTCTTGATGTGGCCCAGGAAGTCGTCTTCCCAAGTCGCAGAGCCGGTGTAATCTCCCATGGCAACATCATCATCGGACACATCAAACGGGTCGTCATCATCATCGATGGTATACCCTTGAGTGCTCTTTGAGACTGTTGATTGCTCGATGGGCCACTCAGTGGTATGTTGCGAAAATTGGGTGCCCAAGCGCGGTTGAGCTTCTTGGTAGTTTTGAGACAACCCATCATACCTTTCCTGTTCTTCCGCAGGAGCTCTAAGCTCATTCTCTAGCTTTACGCGCGAGGAAGATTGTAGGCGAGCCTCGTTTGAAAAGGCAGAACTACTTGAAGTCGAGCTCCCCACGTTTTGGGTTTTCCACTCTGAATTTGTTGCGAACGAATGATACAACGGTGTTGAGGCTGCAAATAAATTGTTAGCGCGTTTCAACAGATTTTAGATGAAGTACTCAAACGCACTATTCGGCCCAGCTGACCAGTCTTGGGGGCTTGTTTGTGCCGGTGTTTGTAGGGCCTCGAGTTTTGGAGCTTCTTCAACAAGGGCGTTGAAGTCATAATGAACTGCTTTACCTTGTCCATGGGGTCTATTGTTTGGCTCGGGAATATGTGAGCGATCCACGGCATCGAACTTAATTTCAACAGACTGCAGTGGTTGTGGTGGTAGACTATTGTGTGTAGATATGTCTCTAGTGTCACTTTGAAACGTATATTGCCTTCGCTCTAATCCTACAGGTGTTGCTGGTGGAATACCAGCAGCGGCAGATATATCAAATGTTTGGAATGATGATCCACGAGGTCCAAGTTTTGGTGCAATGGGAAGAGGGGTTTGAGTGGGTTTTGTATGTTGTTGAGGTACGCCATGATGAGACACCGAAGATCCAGAGCCACGGGCAGAAAACGAGCCTTGTAATGATGCAGATAGGGACGGCCGGTAGGCATTTAGAGGATCTTTGAAGACAACTCTCTGAGTGTAGCCCTCACACTGGCGTTTGGATTTAGTACAGTTTTGGCATGTTGGACGCTCTTCGCCACACTTGATACGGCGTTTTCGACATGCTATGGTCAAGACGGATCAAAGTCAGTCAAAAATTGCTTATGACCGTGCCGTGAATGCAGACTCATGTTTCACTTACTCAAACATCCCGATTTTGTTCTTTTTCTTCCCTTCTCTTTTGATCCAGGCTTCCTGGGCGGTTGTTCTCCATCTGGGTTTTTGGGGGCCTCGTTACTTTGCTTGCCCTGATCTACGGAAAGCTCAGCATTCTTCATAATGATTTTATCCAGATTCTGATGGTCCAGAGAGACGGAATATCATGATCTATACTCAACACGTGAAGCGTTAAGTGAACTCAAAATATGCACGGGCCGGGTGTCTCAGAGAGAAGACTATACCCGTCAGTGGACCGCCAGCGGAGGGTGAAAATGTCGACAGGAAAGATAGAAACGCAGGTTTGACTGGCGTCAAAAATGTCTCCCGGGTGGCGCTGAAGAGTCCAAGAGGCTGATAGAAATGAGTACCGCGCGACGGGTTGGAAAGTTGGAGATCCGAGCCGGCCGTTGGGAAGACGAAGCTTGAACGGTTAATGCAATTGCGGCTGGCTTAGTTGACATGTAAGGCGTGCCGCTTGTCCTAAAGTATTATTATGAGTTTAGTTTAGTACCGAGTATGGGATCCCGGCTTGAGAGCATGTGGAAGTTCGAGTCACATATGGCCTATGGAATGAATTCTAGCGCGTGGTACAATCAGTAGGAGTACCATCACACACCATCAAGCTCTCATGAGACTTGAAAGGAGAGCTTTTGCTTTTCAGGAATGGAATAATATGGTGTTGCAAGAGACATCGGCAACGGGAGTCAGGACTAATGCACTCGGCTTCCGTGTAGAGTGGGCTAGGCGCGGAGCAAGTAAGCCTTGCGAGCTTGAAGGAAAAGTGGTGCTGATATTAGTTCGAAAGTTCGAGTACACCCATTGACTGGTGACACTAGTGAAGGATCGTGCAACTGGAGATCTTGCGTCAACGACAGTACAGTACTAGTTGGCCGGAGATATTCCTTTGTGCAGTCTCTCAACCGGCTGCTAGGCGGGTGATCGCATTGCGTTTGGCATTCTCCAGCTCTAAAAAGCCACGTTCGAGCTTAAGCAGGCGCTAATCTGCAATGTCTGGTGTTGATCATGTACACGCAGGATACGCTGGAAATAGAGCTTAAATCCTTGAGAATACAATATAACGCAAAGGAACTATTTTCAACATACAAATCAGAGATAAGACTTCGCCATGGGGATTCCCGCTCGAGCTGCTGCCGCCAATCTGATTCTCAAGAGGTAAGTTGGATTATGGATAAAGTTGAAGGCGGGCGAAGTGATTGAGGCAAATTGACGAATGGCGCTGCGGATCAGGCTTTTGTGTATAACGCACTCCACCGAATGCCGAAGACCTTTGGGTTGAGGTGGGGGTGAGAATCTATTTCTGTTCAACGGCTGGTAATGTCAGTCCCGTGCTGCTGGTGTCTTCATTTCATCGATGGCGATGGCGATGAGACGGGAGGAATGGATGGTAGTTGAATACCAAGTGGTTTAATAGGATGGTAAAGTACGGGAAGCCATGTGCATATGTGGAAGTCTGTGCATATTACGCTATTGTATACCACACCTATTAGTCCCCCTGGCCACTTTGTATCGGTACCCCAAGAAATGTTTATGCTAGTAAGCTTTTCCCTCCAACCAAGGCCCTTGATCTCATGCCGGCATCTCAGATTGCTCGTAATCTACACCAATACCATATGCACCAGCAATCAGATGGAATGTATTTTTAGGTTTTAACTCAAGAAGGAGGATCGCTCTGCATCTCCGTATTTAGACACCATCACTTGTTTTTTCTTTCTTCTTTGTCAGTAACATATAAAAGTCAAATTGAGTTCAACTTCAACTTCAACTCAACACTCACCTATTAATGCCTATCCATCCAGCCTTTGCCACTACAAGGATCAGCGAGAATCAGCAAGAATCAGCATGACTGTTTCAGGTCAATTCTTGGGCTTGTATTCCCCCTGCAGGTCAGTTGCAAGGGGTCGGTCTGGGCTGATCTGATCTTAAACTGCAACTGCTGGGTGCTGTGGTTTGGTTGGTCGACGGGCTCGGACGAAATTGTTGCCCGATCATTCTTGGCACGTCCTTGCTTCAAGTCGAATTGTTTGAGCTTTGGCCCATCGATTTTGAGCCTCCCTTCCTGCCCTCCCCTCACCAGCATAACTTCTCTTCTCCATTGGGTAACTTACGGCCGAGCAAATCAAAACACGCATGTCGTAAACCCCAAAAAGGCTCATATCATGTCCAGATTCTTTATAATCCCATACTATCGAATTTTCTCTACTCGCAAAATCAACCCCGATTAGTGAGTGTAATGTATAAAATGCATAAGTAAGCCCACGCACTACTACTATAGCACTAACGCGAAAAGTAACATCTCACATCGCGTTTTCATAACTATTCCTAACTTTTAATAGATTTTATCTTACTTATCCCAGTAGGTGTTTAATATAAGGTTTATATATTAAGCTTTTAGGTTGCAGATTGCAATTTAAAGTGCTTAGAATCAGTTAATTATTTGCAATAGAAGTGGAAGAAGATATATTATTATCACTATATATAGATGCGATAATGCATTCAGGTCAACCTTATCAGGTACCTTATCTTCCTCCATATTTGTATGGAGATGGAAGTACCCGGCAAGTTAGGATGTCCATGCTATGCACAAGTTATTATGCCTTCCCGATTTGATTAGTGTAAGTCGACTTATTGATTTTTCAAGTCGACTTACGGAGTACAGCAACCCAAAATGCTTTAGCTGATTGCGGGGTCAGGGATGCCGAATTATAGTTCTCAAGGGTTGTATGGACTGGAAGTAAGCATAAAAAACTCGGAGGTTCGGAAATATTGCATTAAACAAAACCTATAGTATTTTAAGATTTAATCAAAGAGTTACAAGCTTCTTTGATTTCATGCGGAATTATGAAATAGCATATTTTGTCTACACAATCCGAGGTTCAAAATCGGATGAGCTCTAAGCCAATTGTGGCACGCTACATCTCCTCTCCCACTGATTACTAAACATACTCATATCCCTGTTCGGGTTACATACAGATTACGTCTTTTACACTCTACGCTAGTGCCCAATTATTCCGCATACCCATCCCGCTATATAAATCCCGATTTTCCTAGAGTAATATGTCTTAAAAGTTTATATAGCATTAGTGAAAAGTCTCAGTTACAAAGAAAACATAGATTAACATAAATCTCCAAACCTGACCTAGCATTCGCTCTACCGTATTTCTTTTTAAGAGGGCAATGCCGCGCAAGTCAGTAGAATATGATTACTGGACCTTCGTTTACACTTCTGGATCTTGAGTTAGGAAGCACCTCATCCTAAGTCAAAAGGATATACTGTGATAATATTAGAAGTTCCTGCTATGCAGAAGCCAAAAGTGACTTCTGGGGACCGGAAACCTCTTACATGTATTACAAGAATGTCAAATGACGAATAATTCCTTACGGTTCAAACTCCACTAGCAGCGTTCAAGCATCTCCCGATCAATGATAAACTTGCTTCGATGAGCATACGAATTCAGATTCTCGTCCCAATGATACAAACATAGGCATATGTGTCTTCCACATCGCCTTCTCAATATGAATATGCGAAGAAGATATCTAGTATCCAAGCGTGGACATCGAAATTAAAACCAGCGGTGGTGTGGAAGGCGATGTGGAAGTAAAGCAATCGCGTATCCCACTCGAAAACGACTCCCCGCCTTCACATATACATAGGTAGCGGTTCGTATACCCTAACCGCCAATGTAGACCAGCAGGCGAGCTTGAGACGTGCACAGGTTGCGGGAGGATCATCCCGTTGAAAAGTAACGACGTTTGGCTGTTCCATTACTGGGCTCGAGGACTCTGCCTCCGCTGCATTTCCCTTCTAGCTCTAGATCGGCCTGCAACCCCATACTTCTTCTTCCACTTAGTAATGGCAATGCTCCTGATCCTGAGCCCCAAGATCCGCCATCCACACATGTACACCCGTCCTAGCAGCCACCGGACCACCCGCTAGCCTACCATATGCTTCATCCCTACCTGGCATGTGGGTGGCATAGCACGCTGCAAGCACATATCCTTCTATGTCGAGACTGTTGCTGGGCGGAGACGGAAACTCGCATACGCTTTGAGAACGGAATGAATGACATGGGTTTCCGCAGCTGCGTTTGAGCTGGATGGATGGATGGATGGATGGACTGGAGCTTTGCATACGCGTTCGCTTTTGGAAAGCGGGGATACAGTATACTATTGTTACAGAGTGGTTGGGAGACGTATGTAATGAGGAAGTAGACTAGACTGTCTGTACAGCTATGGAATTCAGTATTGATTGTATGAGATGAAATGAAAGTCCGCTTGTTTTGTTTTCTTGGGCGAAAGGAAAGTCTAAGAATACTCTTTCAATGGACTTAAAGTAAATGAGTGAAAATTTTATACAAATTGCTCATCTAGAATCCGAAAAGAAAAGCTTGGAGAACTATCTCGTGGTGGGGGGAAGTTGACGATCTCGTTGGATTGGATTGGATTTTTTAAAGAGCGTTATGTTAGAAGCAGAAGAAGAAAAGCTTAATGCATGGTACTTGACTGGAAAACGAAGGACTTTCTCCCCTGACTTATAATAACTTTTTATATAGTAATATACTTAAATATAGCCCTTTGGTTGAGTGCCTGAAACTATTCAGCAGTTGCCACTTGTCACTTATTTACAGGAAACAACACCTTCCAACTAGGAAAAGAGTACCCAACGGCCTTGAAAGAATAATACATTTGTAATTGGAGATTTTTCCCTCCCAACGCCATAGCTATGTGACATGATGATACGATTTTATACAACCACATATCCTACAAGTATCATATACACCTCCCCTCCCCTTTCTATGCACTCTTCCCCTGCTCCGCCAGTACCTCCTTCACAACCCTCGCCACATCCCCCCTCTCCACATTCCTCTCCCCAAAAACCTCCGGCTTAAAAACAGCCTTCAGCACATCCCCCATCTGCAACTTCCCCTCCTCTCCCTTCAACGCAGCCACAACTCCCTCCACAGCCCTCCTAACCTCCTCCTCTCCCACCACCTCCACATCCCCCGCATACTCCTCCAGAACCCGGATCTGATCCTGCTCCTTGGCCGCCAAATCTTCCCGCCCGTTCTTCGTGAACTCCTCGCTGGCCGCCCGGCTCTGCGCGCTGGTTTTTCGTAGGAGCGCGAGCATTTGCATGTCGGTGTTTATGGGCGTGTTGGTTTTCGAGGCGTTGAGGGTTTGGCTGAGGAGGGCGCGCAGGACAGCGAGGCGGTTCGCGTCTTTGGCGCGCATGGCGGTCTTTAGGTCTGCGCTGGATGGAGCACACAGGTTAGCTGAAGCTGGAGCCGGAACTGGAAGGGGAAATGGAAGTGGAGGTCGAGGATAGCTGTAGCTGTAACTGCTGGTGAGGGGGAAGGGAACGGGAATGGGATGGGGATGTAAATATTTACCGGATCTTAAGCAGCATTGGAGGAGCAGTTGTCGCACCCGTTGCATAGCTGCGTGTGCAGCAGAGCCGGGAAGCCCTTATTGTTTGTCGTGAGAGCATGTTGTGTGGTTTGGGAAAGCAATTGGTTGGAAATGTGTTTAGAGGAGGTTGAAGCTAACAGTTGTTTCCGTATTGGGCGGGAGATGTTCAAATATTTCCCCAGCTTCCGTCGCCAAGCTTGAACCTTGTCCAAGACTACATAGCACGTGTATCACGCGACGCCTTTCATCGATGTTTGTGTTGTACCACGGCCATGAGATGAGACTGCAATTGAAGCTTTGGTGATATTCAGATTGGTAGAAGAGTTGAGAGATTGTTTGGTGAGTGAGTAGTGTTTGTTTGTCCTCTGCGCTTTATATCTCTCTCCACACTTGCTATACCTTGTACTTGCAGTTATACTTGCACCAATTCTAGCCAGAGATTGCAAGTGCTCTGTTACAGCCGAATTGAAACCACTCAATTGGACGTGGATATACAAGGAAGAGAAGGAATATGAAGAGGAAGAGCAAGAATACTCGATCTTCAGTGACAGTATCAGTGCTCTTGACCCCCGTCATACAACCGGCTTCTTCTTCATCCCTAGAGCCCAGATACCAATCATCTATCTAGTCAAGGAATCATTCAGCTCCTTTTCTCTCATATCCTTAAGAAGTCTTAAGTGCTCAACCCCAAGCATGATCTGTATCAAACATCATCTAACGACTGACTAACATTTACTCAGTTCACATGACATCCACTCTCTCCAAACTAAACATCAATCCACCACCTCCCAAGTCTACCGACCTACACCTTACCTAGGAACCTTGCCGTATCTAAGCCCGGTCTTTCAACAAGAACCAGCCATTATCCTCTCACCTACAGTTCATACCTTAAACCATCCCAGCATGGCATCCTCAACCCCCCAACCACCAACTTCTTACCCTTCCTCCACCACCACCACCAAACCCAACGACACTGACACAACCGACGAAATCCAACGAGGTCGCAAACGCCGCCGCTCGTCCGCCCTCTCGCCACCAACCCAGATCCCCTCTAACCAATCCACCACCCTCCGCGGCCGAAGCCGTCGTCGCTCCCTCTCGCCCTCTCACTCTCAATTTGATTCTCAATCCCAATCGTTCACCTCCGCCACTAATCCCTCCCCACAAACCCAATCTCAGTCACACTCTCAAACTCAAGCACTATCCCACACCCCCAGCCCTCACCCCCAACCCCCCGGACGCAAATACCAGAAACACGGCTCTGGCTCTGGACCATCATCTGGATTGAGCAAAGGAACTGCGAGTGCTAATACCAAGGACAAGGACATCGAAATCCAGCTTACTCTTCACTGGACGGACAACAAGAATCGCCGAAGCCAGTCGCCGAGCCGTAGTGGTGGAGCCCCGAAGCCGAGACGTAGACAGAGGACGAGGAGTAGGACTAGGACTAGGACTAGGAGCAGGAGTTGTAGTCATGGGCAAGAGCGTGGGGAGGGGGATAAAGAGAATGTAAGGGAGGTGGAAGGAGAGGTTGAAGGGGAAGTGGAGGTTGCTGTTAAGGAATGAAAGAGAGTGTGTGCGTGTTGGGGAAAACAACAGAGGATGGTTCGGTTCGGTTCGGTCCAACTGGTCTTGGTCTGGTCTGGTTCGTTATGCTATGCTATGAATTATTAATGATTATAGGTTAGGCGTTGGTTGGGATGGACGGTGAGGCACCTGCTAGCTGGCTTACTTTCTTGTTTGCACTGGGATAGGATGGCGAAGTTTGAATCCAAGGATCCCTTGATTGCTCGCTTGCTGTTTTCTACGACTTGCCTTACTCTGGTCTGGCTTTGCTCAGAAAAGAAAAAAAATAAAAATAAAAATGGCTGGAAAAGTGAAAGGAATGGTTAGCATTACTTTGCTGTACTGATTATAAATTATGTATGTATTATGCTATGATTATTGGAGCGGAACAATTGCAAGCAGAATCCAGACAGGACAGGATAGTATAGGACAGTTTAAAAGCGTTTAGGTATCTATCTATGCTTTTCAACGTTACAGTTAGTCTTCTAAGATATATTATAATATCCGTTTACAGCACTATACTACAATACACATAGCGATATTTCATCACAAGCACGTCACCTTGATATAATAGAAATTCACATGACATCAAATCAAAAGCACATAAAAATGTTCTAATGCATCTCAATTATCATGCAGCTAGCTACGTACATGAAGATCGAAATCCCGACTAACAAACAAGGCAAAAAGGAATGAACGAGAGGGAAAACGAGTCGAGTGCGTTCTTGGGAATATGATTGAAGGATTCCACCAGCTTTTGAAATTCTCAAGCCCGAATCTCGACGAAATCCGAGCATGTGAGTTTCTTTTTTTGTTGAAGTTCGTAAAATCGTGATGTGATACTGCTGACAATCCTGTACTTTTTTCCGGGGAAGATGCGCGTCGAGTTGATGAGGAGATCTAGCAACTGTAGGAACCATCTATAGCTTGTCATAGTACTGAGATGATATATTAGCATGTGGATGGAATTCGTATAGGGACAAGATAAACTTACGTTCTCAACACCTGGAACCTCAACCTTGATACCTTTACGCTTACGCATCTCTTGCACAATTTGACCAACTTTCGAGGTACCATCAAGAGGTGATCCACCGGGAAGAATTTGATAATGATCGAAAACGGATTGAGGGAAGGCTTGGCCGGAAGTATTTGATCGGAGATCGGCGTTGAAACCGAATGACTCCAAGACGGGAAGGTATGATTTAATAGTGAAGAGAGGAGTTCCTGGACGTTGCTCCTCGGAGAAAACGTGACCACGTCTTCGGGAAAGGACACCATATACACCGCCCATAGCAGACTCAGGTACTTGAATCTCGCACAAGAACACGGGCTCAAGGAGACCTGGCTCAGCCATAAGAGCCGCGGCGTAAAGAACACGACGGGCAGTTGGGATGAGTTGTCCACCACCACGATGAATGGCATCAGCGTGAAGAGTAACATCCATGATGTTAAATCGGCAAGATCTCATTGGCTCTTCAGCAACTGGTCCTTCTCTTGAGGCCCACTGGAAACCGGACACAACCGAATCCTTGATTTCGTTCAAGTATTGAACGGCCTTGGTCTGGTCAACCAACAAGTTGGCACCGTTGGTATCGGGACCGAAACACCAAATCTTACGGGCATCGGTCACATCCCAGCCGAAGTCATCAGCAAGGATACGGGCACGAGCCTTGAAATCGTCACGAGGAGAGATTCGGCCAGCTTCGATTTCCTTGGAGACTTCCTCGTCCAAAGGCTCAGCAATCATGTACAGACGGTTGTGCTTGTTGGGCGACTTGGAAAGAGCAGTCATGCTGGACTTGGCAGTGACGGTCTCACGGTATTGGACGACAGGGTCGGAGATACGGAGGGGAACACCAGCGTGGTCTTCCTCAAGATCCTTCAAGCAAATCTCCAAATGCAACTCACCGGCACCAGCGACAACGTGCTCACCGGATTCGGAGATCAGAACAAGGACACAAGGATCGGATTTTGAAAGACGCTTGAGACCTTCGACAAGCTTAGGCAGATCCTGGGCGTTCTTAACCTCGACGGATCGTCGCACGACGGGGGAGACGGAAAACTTCATGACCTTCAAGTTGTGGGCAGTGTCTGAGGTGGTGAGAGTTCCAGACTTCAACAAGAACTGATCAATACCGACCAATCCAAGAATGTTACCAGCTGGGACATCATCAATAGGATCAACCTTTCCACCCATCATAAGAACGGTACGCTGGACAGCCTTAATGAAGAGATCCTCCTTCTTGCCAGGGGTGTAGTTGGGACCCTGGATGCGGACCTTAAGACCAGAGCGGACGGTACCAGCGAAGACACGACCAAAGGCGTAGAAACGACCCTTATCAGAGGTCGGCACCATCTTTGAGACGTACAACATGAGAGGAGCCTTGGGGTCACAGTCTCGGATACCAATGCAAGCCTCATCATCAGGAGGACCTTCATAGAGGGTCTCGGCACGGTACTTTTGGGCGGTGACTGGCGATGGCAAATGCAAAATCATCATCTCCAAAAGAGCATCGGCAGCAGGAAGGAAAGTCCGCATGACAACCTTGAGGAGTGGCTTGCCCTCCTTTTCCCTGTCTTCTACCGCAAGCTTGATGCTAAGCTTCTCAAGCAGAGTCTTTGTCTCATCCTTTTTGAAGTTCATGATAGCCTCGAAGATCTTGAAAATTGGGTCGAGGATGAACTGGTTGAAGGCACGCTCCAATTGCTTGCCCTCGTGAGTGCCCTTGTTGGTCCACTTCTTGGTATGAGGGTTGAAGTAGTTGTCGCCCTAGAATTTATTTGTTAAAATTACATGCCCGTCAAGGGGCAGAAGATGTACTTACCCAAAGACGCTCCATCATCTTATTCCTGTCAACACCAAATTTCTTGGCGTATCTCATAGCGAACTGTCTGATTGTGAAAGCCCAGCCGTGAAGACCGGAACCAAAGGCAACGGTTCCATTGTATGGGTAGACCTGGACATCACCGAGGGTCTTGTCGAAATAGGTGGAGATGACGACGTTGACGGACTCGATAGTTCTCGAGAAGGTCTGGTACAGATCCTCCTTTGAGACTTGCAATTCAAGGAGAGCACGATCGACCTTGTTGATGACGACAACAGGCTTGATACGCTCACCAAGAGCTTGACGGAGCACAGTCTCGGTTTGCACACACACACCTTCAATGGTGTCGACAACGACAAGAGCACCATCAGTGACACGGAGAGCAGCGGTGACCTCGGAAGAGAAATCGACGTGACCGGGTGAATCGATCAAGTTGATCAAGAAATCGTTGCCTTCGGTCTTCTGGCCAACGATGTCCTTGATATCATCCTCGCTGTCGAGATGTCCATACAGGGAGATGGCAGTCGACTTGATGGTAATACCACGCTCCTGCTCGTCCTTGCGAGTATCGGTGGCTCTCGCATCACCAGCCTTTCCTGCGGAGATAATACCGGCCTTGGCGAGGAGGGAATCGGTGAGGGTGGACTTTCCGTGATCGACGTGGGCAATGACGGACATGTTACGAACGTTCGTAGGCTTGTCCATCAAGGCGCGCACCTCTTGAATGGTGAAACTGCATGGCACACAAGTATTAGCCACGGCTGATGTCTGCTTAAGTCCGAAAGGTGAAGCTGTCGATGGTTCGAGTTCAAGGCCATCTCGAATTAAGCATATTGAAGATGTCGCAGACACCCTTCCACCACTCCTTGAGATGCTAGGGGCAGGATTGCACTCACTTGACCATATTTGCGGTGTTGCTTCAAAAAGCTGATTGATCGAGAATTTTTCGATGACGCCGCAGCGTGAGACTATTGATACCCTTGAGTGGGATGTTGGACCACTTTTCGTATAGTTAATATCTATCTGGAGCTGTCATGGGCAAATCACGAACCTCGATAGACTTCACAGCAACAAGGGCTGGAATATGGTTTGGGATGGTGGAGAGGAGAAGAAGAAGGGAAGATGGATGGGGAGAGGGCAAATGTAAATGGAAGGAAAAATGCGGTGGATTTGGATTGCCCCGCCCCGCTTAGAACTAGCGCCATCAATACGATAACAAGCCCAACACCACAACCACACCAACCCCTCCTTAACCGAATTGCTTCACATACATTTGAGGCACGTGATGGCTAGGGTTGGTTAGCCCTAAGGCAAGTAGGTAAGTCATGCCGGTCTATGTATGACTGAGAGTGAAGTAGAAGTAGGGACGAGGTGTGAGTTTGAGTTTACAAATCCTCCCCGAATGACTCTTATGTTCGAGGGTGCATGAGATACCTGTGGTTATACGTTGGTTTTCGAGGTCCCCACTAAAGAACCCCCATTTTAGTTTGGTAATCGCACTTTGAGCCATGTACCTCTATAAAATTTATATCCCCTTCAACTATGTCTTTTCTTTTACTCAGATTCGAGAAAGGGGTCTAGACCTAATGGAGTATTTACTCAAAATTTAGTCCTTCTTTATTGCATCTTTTAGCTTACGAGGTTGCCCTTTAGATGCAGTCTCGATTCCTATTCGCCACCGATAGCTCGGGTGGATCAAAACGGTTCTCCTCCATTCCTCCACTACCTATAACCATTCGGTATCTACCTAGGTAATATTTGAACTCGTGCCTTGTATTCCAAAGTTGTTGAATTATTTATATGATTCATTAATACAGTGCCATTTTTCTTCCTAAACAAATCCTTCCGCCACCATCCAACGCCAATTAAAATGCTACAATACTACCAACTCACCGCTATGCTGACCCTGCTAATACCAAAATACAGAAGCTATTCGCCTCACTCATCAAAATGATCCTAGAATCTTCGCATAAGCATCCTCCACCTCACTCGCCAGCTCTAGGAGCGTCACGATCACAATCTGATGCGTCAAGTTGGGCAACCTATCACGATGTAGTCCGATCCATTCCAACCTAAACATATTATCAGCCAGATTCGGCAATCAGAGGCAACAGGAAACTTACGGTGGCGTAGCCTCGCCCATATCCCTCAACTGCGGCGTCTCGATTATCGGTGGCGCAAGCGCACTGTAAATATACTTGGACTGCGGCATATTAACCTCGGCCGTGATTTTTTGCTGCTCGCCATCCTTTCTCCGCCCAGACTCATCATCCGGCACACCCGTAATCTTGACTGCGGAAAAAGGAAGCGGTTTCCCCAATCTCTGAGCCAATGCTTTGGAATGAGAAGCCCACATGCTACGAATGTAGCTGATACGAGAGTAATTCCATCCCACCTCGACTTTACCCTCGAGGAACGACTTGAAGATGTAGTCGATGTGATTCGAGTCTGGGACTTGCCATGTTTGCATGATTGCTTCGACCTTGGGCACTTTCAGGATGGTGCCACCTCGTGAGCCAGTGGCGCTACTTATTACCTCTTCGACTGACAATTCACCCACTGATTTCGGCACGTCGATTGTCTTGACGCCAGCGAGACCGATGCGGAGCTGACCAAGTGTGAGTCCTAAGATGCTATGGATCTTGCCGTTGTCCATCGTTACCGCGAATCTGGCTTGGGCATTGAGCGCCTCCAGCTTGAAGACCTGATGGTCCGAGAAGGTATTCGGGAAAGCGCCCACATTGACAGCTTTGAGTGTGACGATCACATCTGTATGGAGAGAGATGGGTGATTTTGCCGGTTTATCCTCGCCGAGGGGATGGGGAGAATCTCTAGCCGGGGATGACGTTGGATGCTGGTGTGATTTGCGATGCATGAATTTCTCAATCTCCGCAAGAGACGTTTCGTAGTTTGCTCGCTTCTCTTGAACAAGCCGCTCGAATGCTTGATACAACGCGATCGCTTGAGATGCAGTATTTGTGGTGCAGAACACTTGTACGGCTTCACCATCTAGGATTGCGACTAGGCGATCACCCTTGGCCTGTGGTCCGTTTCGTACATTATACATGAGGAATTCGAATGAGGTGATATCAGCGACTAGGAAAGCTTGGTAATCGAAAGCAGCCTTGACTCGTAATTGGCTGAAACCTAGAGATCCTTGAACCAATGGTGTTTGGTTGAGAGCCATCTCACGGGCCGGCCACTGGATCGAAGTACGAATCCTAAAGTCCTGGAGAGCTACGAATCCGCTCATTCTGCCGGCGCTATCAACTCCAACTTTGTCGAAGCCCATGCAGAGATTTTGTTCCCAATCAGAATTCTTCTTTGACGAAATCCAGAATTTAGAGATCATGAATGCCGACTTTCCAATGGCTTGTCCTAGGTCCAATTGGACGTCAAGCTCAGCGATTGATACAGTTGCATTCCACGGAAAAGCTCCCGTCGCTGCAACTTGCTGGTACTTCTGGACGAGATGAGTTTGCGACTGCGCCGTTGTAGATGTTGGTGCAGGCGTTGGCGAGCTTTGACGAATTTCCGGCGGTACCCAGATCTCTCTAAAAAGTAGGAAGTCCTGCAATTGCTTTGCATTGACCAAGACTTTCATAGGGCTGATCTTTAGGATTGCGGAAACCCCACTTGTACCGCTGACGTGCTTGCTGTTCATCAAGGATAGAAAGACTGAATCTACCTCGAAGCTCCCGGTAGACTCGCGTGAGTATACGTGCTGGACAGATGCCTCCAGCTTCCTGAACGCAGCGGAGATTGCAAAGAAATGACCGTGCTCCGTTGATCGCACCGTATTTATCGTCATGTAAATATCATCAAATCGAGCCGTGGCAGCAACTCTGGCTATGGGCTGACAGCTAAGACTGAACTCTTGTCGGCAGATGCGTAAGCCTAGGTTGAGTCTCGTTCGACCAAGGACTGTACTAGGATCCGCAGTCAGGATATTATCCTCATCCGCGCTCATGAACTTCTGTGGGGTTGCTTTGGGCTGCAGCAGCTTCTTCTTTTCGTCGTCATCACTCACGATCTCTTTGACGGTCGCCGAGATTTCCATGATAAGTGGGACTACGGTCGGGAAAAGAATGTTGGAAGAGGCATCCACTTTGACCTCAGCGTTCAACGAAGGTTCGTCCAGTCCGTTGTCTTTATACTCGACTCTCCAAGCCAACCCAGGCGCTCGTAGCACAGTATTACTATTAGCATCGTTCTGAGAAAATTGCCCATATCTACCAGCCTGTGGTGCTCTGCCACCTTTGCTGTTTGAAGTAGCTTTCGATGCCTCATGGACCTTCTTACCTGAAAGGTAGACCACCGCGCCCGCGAAGTCAGCATCGACAAGTAGAGACTCCATTCGTTTTTTACCAAAAAACGGCTGGCGGCGGCTGCTCTCAGTAGGAGGCCCTGGTGTTTGGGTCATCCAGGTCGCTGTTGCAGCTCGAACTTTCTCGGTAGCGGAAAATATTGACTTCTGCAACGCTGCTGCTGGTAAAATGAATTGAGATGTCATGCGGAGATCTAGTGACTTTCCTGCGGCCTGGAAGGCAAATCGACGAGCATCTGGGGTGGAAACGTAACCAACGTTAAAAATGACCTCAGGTAAAAGAGCCGAGTTGAGCGACCTCTGGATTTTATCGTGCGATGCAGGCACCATCTGAAGTTGAAGGTCTTCAATAGTCAGTCTGGCTGTATTTTCCCTTTTTGTCGAGAGTGCAATTCGCTTCAATGACAAGACCAAATCCTCTTTCTCTAGCTGTGAAGTTTTATCCTTATCATGGGTGTCGACTAGCCAGCAAACTTGAATGCTTAGCAATTCTAAAGAATACAGCGACGAGAACCTTCCTACAGATCCGGCTTTGCTACCCTCTGCCTCTGGCTGCTCATCATTGATTGCACTGTGGAGTCTTGACTTTCTGAGCTTTCGGAAATAGTTCTTCTCGCGGGATAAATCAACATCTTTGATCTTGTCCTGCAAATAGCCCATGACGTCCACTACCGAGGATGCCGTTTCAGCGAACAATTTTATCTTCAAGGCATCGCTCTTGAGATGGAACGATCTGACTACATCACCGGTGTCGCTCAACTTGGATGTAGCAGTCAAGAAAGCTGCAAACTCAAGATTGCCGCAAGACTCCATGATCCCAAAATTGTTTGGTCGCGAAAGCTCGAACATGATGTGCTGTAGGCTGGCCCGCAACTCAGGAAATGCAAGCACTGGGCCATTCTGCTCAACGCGGTTTGCCAAAACCAGCTGCACACACCCGAGATTAAATTCGAGTCTGGCGCTATTTGAGTCTCCACTAGCTTGAGCATTTGCAAATATGTCAAATCCTGCTAGTGTGAGATGCGCATCGTAAATGAGCGGCTTTGACTCTTTCAAATTTTTCTTGACAGTCTTCTTGCTCGGACCGAATATTTCCTCGAGATGGGCTTGCACAACCTTGACTTCTTCTTTGACGTCGCTTACGACGCTGGATATCTCAGGTCTGTTTATTGCCGTGAGGAGACTATGAACTGCTGCAGCATCAAGTTCAACAGGCTCGACAGAAGCAAAAACCGATATCGTGGTTTCCGTTTCCAACATGGAGCAAGTAATACGTCCATTCGTTGGAGGCATTTGTAGTAGTGATATACTCTTATGTTTCGTTGCCATGACAGTTTGCATGTCATGTGAGTGCTCCTTGACATCAAAATCAAAAACTAACTCGGAATCTGATCGTGCCGCCAATGAGGCCCTAGCGACGACACCAGATACGTTGTATGTCAGAGACTGGAGGAGAGGTATGCTAATATCATACATGTCTAAGAAGAGGGCAACATTGATTCTATTGATGGGGGTTGGTTTTCGTGGCTGTTCAGATGCCTGTGCTTGGGATGGAGTCGTAGAAGGCATGTGTTTCT